ATGACGTACGGCTACCAAGCGATGAGGGCATCCCCGAAAATTGCCCAAAATTGTCTCCAAGGGAAAGTGTGGAATAAAGTACGTCTGGGGCCCTCATAACATCCCCGCAAGCTTACCCCAATAAGCATTCATTTCGTTGGTATCTGCGGGGGGACGCTGCGCAACCCCCCCTTGGTTGAACGACAGATGTCGGTATAAAGTCTGACGAGCTAGACCTACTTCAGCCCATGATCGTCAGCTTGGACCTAGATATCCGAAGGCTTCTGCGCAAAACAGACACCGAACTTGTCCATGTGCATTATCCCGCGAACCATTCAATGCTATTTTTGTGGATTCTTATCCGTCAATCTTCCAAGTCAAGACATGATCCCGCGCCACTAGCGGATTTCCCTGTCAGCGTTTCTTCTTTTTCGTATTCGTTATTGCTTGTGATCCGCAATTTTCGTATTACTTCACAATAACTTCCTTTTTGAACCATACTTTGACGTGCGATTAGATGAACTAAGCGTAAAAAAAGCGCGTAGAGTTTTCCCGATTTGGCACCTTTCCCACGCCAAGCTCCCTTGCCACGTGGAGTAAACATCTGTCCATCATGTCCTTTGGGCCGAATCGTTCTTTAGTTGTCCGAGTGTTCCACCTCGGTAGTCTCCGCATTTCTTGATCTCATATGCAAGCATTCTCTTGTACTTGCAGTTGTAACGTTATTGATGGAATGCTAAACACTGCTCTTTCACTGACGTGGGGGTTCTGGTAATATGCTACGTGATTAGCGCATATGGCTCTACCCTAGACTCCGTGTCTCACTTTAGTATGAGGGGTGTAACGGAGTATGTTAGGGTACTTTGTATCGTCTTTACCGGACTTGCGGAAGTTGATTGGAAAGTGGCATAGTCAGTATTTAGAGATTTTGTTATAGGGTCCGTGGAAAGTATATTAAGAATGCTGTGTCTTGCGGAAAAGTTAATATGATTCAAATGCGCATTTAGCAGCTGGGTTTCTCTTTAGCAAAGCACCATGCTCCTCTCACGCTTCGTCGTCGCAACAACTCTTCTTTTGGGGGCTACCAATGCCTTTGCGGATTTAGGGCCCGTCAAAGGCCTAGACAGGAGGCAGCCAAAAACCACCAAGTGCGTTGTTTCGGCCAATGGCAACGGATCTGACGATACACCTGCGATCCTGGAGGCATTCGACAAGTGCAAATCTAATGGGCACATCATATTCGACAACGTGACCTATCACATCCATCAGGTGATGAAGACAACCGACCTGTACAATGTCAAGATTGATATCAAAGGGACCCTCTTGGTATGCTATGTTTCTACCTCAACTTCATTCGGCCCATATCACTTGAGGCATCTTATTGGCCTCGAACCAATAGCTGATATATCTTATAGTGGAGTAAGAACACAACCTACTGGCTTGAAAATTCCATCCCGATTGGCTATCAGAACCAAACGACTGCCTGGGTTCTAGGTGGTAAGCACCTTGATGTCAACGGTTTTGGATACGGAACTTTCGACGGAAATGGCCAAACTTGGTATGACTTGGTTAAGGGGGAGTCAAACTACCCTAGTATGTTGCACTCGAATCGGCCTCCTCAACAGAGTTTAGCGGGCTGTGGCTAACTACAGTGTCTTTTGCCAGGGGGCCCACATGCGCTTCTCCTCGATGGGGCGATAGACTCTGTTTTCGAGGGTCTCCGTTTCGTCCAGGCTCAAATGTGGTAGGTCTCAGGCTTGTTCCAAAAGCCATTTGCTGTTTTTGTTCCTGTGACCGAAGCTAATGGTTTATATGTAATCATCACAGGACCGTCACCATCACAAGATCCCAGCGAGTACTTCTCCAGGATATCTATGTCAACAACACGAGCTCCAACAGGAATCCAGCCCGGAATACTGACGGAGCTAACACGATGTTCTCCGACAACATCCACTTTCGCCGGTGGACAGTCAAGAACGGCGATGATTGTATTGCTGCAAAGGCTAATTCGACAAACATTCTTATTGAAGACATGGAGTTTCATGATGGGCAGTCGGTCGCAATCGGAAGTATTGGGCAGTATTTCGGCCAGTTCGAAACTATCGAAAACGTCACCATCCGGAATGTGTTGGCACACGGATCTCGCTATGCTGGCCGTATCAAGACATGGACCGGTGATCAATTGGGCTACCCTCCTAATGGTGGCGGTGGTGGCTTAGGATGTCAGTCCCCTTAGTATCTTTGCAACAACTTGAATAACGTCGCACACCCACTTCTCGCACACCCCCACATTTCGCACACCCATAAATTGGGTCATCATGAGGTATTCATCAACTTCATAACTATAAGTCTGATTCGTCTCCTGCAACTGTGATACTATCGCCAGTTTTAATAGGTAATTCAGGCTCGCTAGATTCATCTGAGCTATCCTCAATTTCGCCAGCCTCAATTTGGGCTTTGTGAATTGCCTCAATGTTGGCAAACTTCGAATTTGGGCTCATTTGGACTTTACGCCGCTTCCGTACCATTCCAGCCTCAACTTCTGCTTCCAACATTGCAATCTTCTTCTCTGCTGTAGCCAATTGATAGTCCTTTTCATCAAATCCCTTTTGAACCTTCCGAAACAACAGTCGCTGGGTTTGCTGATCTTTATCCAACTTGCTGAATAAGCTAAGTTGATCATATAGATCAACTGTCTTCTTGGGCGTTGACCAGGCTACTATGGATGTAGCAGATGCCCAGTTTTCGTCTTTTCCACCATCAGAGGCCCTCATAGGCGTAGAATAGCCTGGCTTTGAGGGCTTGGAAGCATTCTCAAGCAGTAGAGGGCTCATGAGCGGTCGAGCTATCGAAATGGGCCATAGTCCTGTTGCTTTCCAGCCGCTTCTGATATTCTTGCTTGAAAATGCCATCTGGCGTGCTTTTCCATAGCAGGTAAGAAAGTTCCGTTTGCCTACAACTGTAGAATCGTTGTGTTGAATGAGGTATCCAAGCTCTTTTCGATAGGTCGCCTTGAGAGGCCCAAAGACTGCTTGGTCTAGAGGTTGGAGAACGTGGGATGTATGTGGCGGTAGGAAAAGGAGATATATCTTGTGTTTATAACAGAGATACATAAATTCTGTTGTTTCATGACTGCCATGACCGTCTAGGATCAATAGTCTCTGCTCAGAGGGATGATCAGGCTTAGTCAGAGGGATAAAGATGTTCTCAAGCCATTCCACAGCTGTAGAGTCTGAAGTCCAGCCATTCTCAGTTGCTGTGAACTTCCAACCACTGTAAATATCACGTTTATGGATATCAAGAGGAAACCATTGTTGTTGAACCGATTTCCCTCGATAAATAACAAGTGGAGGAAGCGCCTGACCAGTTGCAGAGACACACTCAAGCATAGTTGTCCAAGCCCGAGACCCAGGCTGTTTTTTTCGCATTGATGAGCTTTCTGATGATCCCAGTACTAAGCCATTTGATCCTCTGCCTTCTAGGATACCAGTTTCATCCATGTTATAGCGATGATGTGGTTTGATCGCCTTGATCTCTGGAAGGGCGAGTTGTTGAAACCATTGCCTGATTACATTAGTTGAGGCCCCATTGACACGCTTAGAATCGATGGCTCTAGCTCTATGAACCTTGATTGATGGATTTCTCTTAATAAAGAACTGAATCCAGTTTCTCCCAAGTGGCTGGGTAGTGCCTCTGATGTCTAGGATTCGCTGGGCAAATTCCTTGAGTTGTTGATGTGTTGGCGGCAGCCCTAACGCCGCCTGGATACGCACCCATTCAGCTAAGTGACTTTCCTGTGCTGGAGATAGCTTCTGGAAGCTAGAGAAAGCTACATTTCTTGCCTGTGAACCCTTTAATCGAGACTGGAGGGTTGATGGTGGAATTCCAGCATCATGAGCTGCCTTTCGGACACTCTGCCCACTTGCAACTGCATTGAGAGCTTGATTGACTTCTGTTTCCGTATACTGGCCCATTAAGCGTATAAGAGTAACTATTCAAAGAATTATAATAATCGCTGTAAAAGTGGTGAAGATATTAAAGAATGTTGAAGAGGGTAAAATTCTACATGAGCGATTTATGGGTGTGCGAAATGTGGGGGTGTGCGAGAAGTGGGTGTGCGACGTTATTGCTAACATGCCTGAGTTTAACAGATATCAGAAACATTAGTGAGTCAATACAAGCATCCCAAAAGCACCTTATTGTCAACTTCTGCTCCCATAAAGTTACATTCTCGGGATTTAATGCTAATCAAAGCTGTACAGGCTGGGACAACGTCACCATCTACGATGCGGAACAAGCCCCCATCTATGTGATGCAATGCATCAGCTACAACGGCCAGCAGGGCAATTGTAGTTCCTCTCTATTTGACATATCTGATATTAGCTTTACCAACTTTCGAGGTACTCTTCAGGGAGGCCGTGTAGCCTATCTGCAATGTAGCAGGGCTCATGGGGGCTGCGACAATGTCCATATCGAAAATATGAACTTCACCAATATCAGCGTTGACCCACCAACGGCCGCAACTGAGTACAGATGCAGTAACGTCAACGATCCTCAAGGATTTCAATGTTAAGAAGTGATTGTAAGGGGCATACAAGGGAGGGAGAAGAAAGAACAGTGTAGGGCTAGATACATCCGTCGTCCCAATGGAAATAGATGATGGGTTCTTCTCCTCTCCGCTCGTTAGTGTCACATAACCTTCTTCAGCTCTAAGGCAAATTTCTCTGTATCTTCTGACTTGACTGGCGATCACATGGTTAAGCTGGGCCGTTTTTTTATTCAGTTACATTACATATTTCAATTGCCTTTTGGAGCCTTTATATTAGTGTGAGGAATTGAATGGCCAGATATTATAAGTCTCCAAGGAGATTCATGTAACCTTGAGAAATAAACACAGGTATCCAAATTATCTAATAAGTTACTGCCTTGTTTTTTTTGACAAGGGATTGAAAGCATCTATCTCAGGAGCTCTATGTAGTAGGACGAAAAGAAGTGTTATCATGCGCAACATGTTGTCTCATCTATGCAGAAGCCTTGATGAGGTCCGAGGCCTTCTCAGCAATAGCGTAAAGCGTAGAAACGAGATGACCGCAAACTTGGAAAGGCAGGATTCCAGCATCTACAACACGAACGTTTGTAGTTCCGTAAACCTTGAGGTTGCCATCAACAACACCACCGAGCTCCTTGGACATCATAGCAGTAGTTCCAACGGGGTGGAAGTTGGATCGGTCTGTTAAGCAAATGTTAGTCACACGTTGATCTAATTCACTACTTGATTTTTGTTTTCTTTTTGAATCGGACTAGCACTTACAGTTGTCAAGAACCCACTTAGACCAAACGTTGTCAGACGCATCCTCGGGGATGGCAGTGAGGCCAGGCTTGGTTTCGCTGGCAAAGTACTGGCTGAGAGGAGCTGTCTTGTACAGCTGGCGGATGAACTTGGCTGTGCCAATCTGCTCGGTCATATCCCAGTCCATCATGAAGTAGTTGGGGTTGATCTTGGCGGAAGAAGAGTTGGCATTAGCGATGTGGATGTTGCCACGAGCGAAGGGGAGGAGGGCCCAGTATTCTGTGGAAAAGG